GCTGATGAAAATTCAGCTTTGCATCACAGGAATAAATGACATTTTAAAGTATATTAAATTAGAAAACTGTTATTTTAATCTATTTTGATCAAATAAATGCAGCCTTGGTGAACATAATTGAAAGTTTAAAAAACATTAAATAAATCTTGCCATTTTCAAACTTGAACAGTAGTGTACTTACAACAACTTTCAGAAATGTGTGATTAATCACCTTAATAACAAAAATATCTTATATTAACAATTAATAATAAATATTAACAATTAAAAATATATTGTAATTGTTCATATTTTAATCTATCAGCATCCTCCACAACATGAAAATAAGTGTGTTTGTGCTGCACTTACTGAGGTAGAGAAACATGCAAATGAAAACAATGAGGCCGAACCAGGCACTGAAGTACGTCACAAAATAGATGATGGCAATGATGATGTCAGCAATAGTGGGTACAATGCTGAACACAATATAGCTGTAAAAGAAATCAATGAATATTTAATTTAAACATGGAAAAAAAAAGTTGTCAACCATTTTATAGCATAGCATATATAAATATGGTGATACTAAAATCAAAGAAAATCATCAGACCTTAACAAGTTGTTCACGGAGGAGGTTCCACGGTCAATGCTGCGCAGGACATCTCCAGTGCGGCGGCCCAGGTGCCAGCGTAGAGAGAGGTCATGCAGGTGAGTGAAAAGACGGACCTGCACCACACGGCTGGTGTACTGCTGGACATAAGTCCACAGGAAGCTGCGCAAGTTACTGACAAACCCTGATGTCCCTGAGGGGAGAGAGACAGTTAATGGTTTGTACAGAATAAAACAAGCTGTAGTGTTTAAAAGAATCCTTACAATATGACTTTGAATGTCAACCCTCACCTACCCCTCCGCCCTGGAAGAACTTAAGGAGGACGTAAACACAGACCGTGATGGCCAGGGTTCTCCAGCTCTCCATTGCTGACAGCTGGTTCACTAGAATATTATAATTGCAAAAATACAGAGAACACATGAATGCATCTACTTGTGCTGGCTCAACTGGCACATGCTATTGTTTTGTGTCAGGATTTGCTCAAAAATGCACATGATCTTCAGAAATCATCCTAAGATGCTGTTTTTGTGCTCAGAAACATTTCTTATTAATGTCAATGTTGACAACAGGTGTGCTGCTTAATATTTTTGTGGAAACCATGGTACATTTTTCATGATTCTTTAATGAAAAGAACGTTCAAAAGAACTACAATCATTACACATGGTTTTACAGGCACAGAAATAATATAAAAAACAACCTTACTGACCCTAAACTTTTGAACAGTAATATTTTTGCTTAACTATCCCTTTAATTGTATGTACTGTACATCCCCAAGGCTCTGTGTAGGAAGCACATACTGTGAACACATTTCTGCTGTTTTCCTATTAATGAGTGTGTGCAGGGCATCTTCCCTTTAATCACACATAGACTATAAACTTCAACATCCTGAGTCATGAATAACCACACGACTTCAGTTCAATACACAAAAATTTAACAGCTGCCCAAAACGGCCATCTCACTGACTTATACGTGAATCCACAACAACAAAAACAGAAAAAAAAACAGCCAAAAGGATGCAGTCTGAGCCAGGAGCCACAGCATAATGTATCTAAAGAGAACACACTGGTCTGTCCTGGGAGCTGAGAAAGATCCTCAATGTAATTCATTTACATTCATGGCCGTTTTGATTGTGCACTCGGAATCAAATGAGGAAAGAAAAGGTGGAGGGTTGAAGCAAAAAAAAAAAGAGAAAAAAGATCAAAACAAAACAAGAAAATGCCAAGGGCAAAAGCAAAAACTCTCTTCCTCTCTGTTGAGCTGGGGGCGTAGAAATGGATGGTGAGAGAGCTGATTTTTATCCTTGGCATGGGGGCAGAGAGAGCTGCGGACAAAAAGGCCCTTGTACCAGCGTGTTAACTCTGCTAAAAGCCCCTAATGCCCCCTAATCGTGACTGGCAGGGTTGGTGACCTCCCCTATTACCCCTCTCAATCTCTCTCTGCCACACAAAAGCTCACTTTTCTCCCAGGATGGCTTTCATGTGCCTCCAAATGCAAAGCTGTTACTTGTCTCTGATAATGAAGCACATACACACCACCAACTTCAGGAAGAGATCAAATGAACAACGTACACTTAAAGAACGAGGATGATAAAAGAATGAATGAATAAATGAATCAAGACAGGGAATTTCAGAAATGGTGGTGAAAGTAAGAAAAAAAAAAAAAAAAGAGGCAGAGAATGAAGGGTGGAAACAAAGTCTTGAGCCACAGAAGAGTTTAGCATAGTTGGGTTTTGTCCCACGTTTCTCTTGTAAAAGATCGATACTTCTTGGCTTATGTGAACCAAAGGCTTTGACTTCCCTGAGAGGTTTCGGGGGCTGCTCACCCATCCAGCTGGCCCACAAGGGGCTGAGAAAACTGGCAAGGGAGGGGCAATCCAACTTCACAAGCACAAGAACACTCCCGCATATACATGCTTGACTTGTTTCAAAACTGCCTTTATATATAGTTTTTTTAACAACAAATATTCATCATCAACATCTTTTTAGGTATATTAGGTTATCTGTTTCAAACCAATTAAAGGGCCTCAGCACAGCGGCATGTATTTTTAATTACTGCAAACAAATTCAAACATTTATTCCTTCACACACACACAAAAAAAAAGCTACTGATCATCTTTAAAAAAAAACAACAACAACAAAAAAAAACAGCAGGTTGAGCAGCTCTCCTTTATATATAGTTTTTTTAACAACAAATATTCATCATCAACATCTTTTTAGGTATATTAGGTTATCTGTTTCAAACCAATTAAAGGGCCTCAGCACAGCGGCATGTATTTTTAATTACTGCAAACAAATTCAAACATTTATTCCTTCACACACACACAAAAAAAAAAGCTACTGATCATCTTTAAAAAAAAACAACAACAACAAAAAAAACAGCAGGTTGAGCAGCTCTCACCTTCCCAGGTAACGGCAAATGTTGAAAGCTGCTGTCCTCTACTGGTCATGCATGGTAATGCAAATCCTTTGGCTTTTTGTTTTATTTATTTATTTTTATTAAGGGGCCAGATTTGAACCTTTTAAATTATTTTCAGGGGTATTTTATTTTAGCTTTAAGAAGACTTTTTTTCTCTGAACCACATAACACAACAGTCTTATTGAAAAAGTCAATAGGTCCTTTAAAAGTCAATAGGTGATTTCTTATTTAAAAACACTATATAAACTACACAGCAATAATGATTAATTTGATTGATTGATTAATGATTAATAATGAATAATTTCACCTTCGAGACTATACTGGCTACACTGTCTGAATAAGCCCTAAAATATATAATACTTATATAGGCATAGAAACAAGCATTATGAAATACGTCAAAGTCCGTTTTAGGGTGGTGAGACATTTTTGTCCCTGCTGTAGAATTAATGTACATGCTAGACCTGTGTGTATGAAATTGCTACAGACTTTGAAAGAATTCTAAATGCATAGATGAATCTAGTCTCACCTATATTCCTGCTGTAAATGGGTACAAACACATTGATGACCCGCTCAAGTCCCAGCAGCCCAACACACAGAATCACCAGAGCCTGCAACCCCACACTTCCCCTGGGCCACATGTATGGCACCAGCAGACACACTTTCCTCCTGAAGCCCTGCCATGCTGACCCAGAGATCACCTCCACTTGGCCTTGTCTTTGATGCTTCTGATGAACAGAGAGAAACATACAAAGACATTTAGGTGTAATAGAACCTTCAAATAAACGTACTGAGAATCTGATAAAGTGATTTCCAGTTACTGTTATACTTACCTCTACAGTCAGTGCAAGTGATGCTTGCTCAGTTTCATTTTCCAGTGCGACTTGTTTCGTGTGTCTTTTAGAGTACTTGTTTGCCATTGTTTGACTTCGTAGGAAAAATTAGGCTTTCAAAAATACAGTCTGAATGCATTATTCCATTGAAGTGTATTGCATTCTATGGACTTGCAAGGTTTTAAAGTGCATATGTGCGCGAATGCAGTTTTCGAATGATTATACCGACCGTCTGTATTCATTCAGCTGAACGGGAAACGCTGCGTGTCATATGGGCAGCATTCACATGACTGATAGACTTGTGGTCATGTGGCTCAGATGTTAAATGAAAACGCTGACGCGTTTAAACACTGAAAAGGCTGTTTTCCTCTGTTAGGTGTTGTGAAAGAATAGTTTTCGTGCAGCAAATCCGCTAGCGGTTTCTAAAATAATATTCCTCCAGGGGGCGCTTGGCGGCTCAGAAAGGCAGATTGCTCACTGAGTCGCGTTCAAAACAAAGACGTTTTTGTCTTACTAAAACTGTGTACTCTACAATAATATATATTTTTAAATCAATTCTAGTTCTAAGGAATGGTAACTGAAACACAAATTAAGCAAGTTCTAAAATTACATCTATAAAATGTATAACCAAGAAGTAATTAGAAAAGACTGATTAGTCCAATCTGACTAGCGCTGTGAAAAGTAACAAGAATCACATGACAGTACAGGGCCGCGTGCATCCGTTCCATTTATTTAGTATTATTTTTAAACTGAGTAAAAGTACAAAAGTACTTAGTGGATGCAGACATTAAATTTGTATTAATTTACAAATAAGAAATTATTTTGTCTCGCCTCACTTTTTCTTTGTCAGCTAAAACAATGTTTGGAAAAAATAAGTGAATAACAATGTGCTAATGCAGGCCTATATAAATTCACAAACATGACTGTCTCTGTACCAGACTCAAACATAGCCTTCTGTTAGTATCCGTTCAGTATGAAATGCTTCTTCAAAGGCTGCAGTCAAATCTTAACAACTTGTGCTACAGTCGGTCTGTGAAGGCAGGAAATTACACCAAAGCGCTTAAAAAGGAAAAGACTTTAATGAACAAAAATATGATTCAGTGAAACTGCGACTTGTTATAGCACTTGCATATCTTTGCTCTCTTGTTGGTTTTGATTGCTTCCATTGTTCTCATTTGTAAGTGGCTTTGGATAAAAGCGTCTGCTAAATGACTAAATGTAAATGTAAATGTGAAAGAATCATTAAAAGATTTGTTCAGCACACAGATTCACTCATGAACAATTAACATAGAGCAGTTCCTAACAGTGATGCTGACCTTAACAGACACCACTACATGCACGCACAGATGAGGAATATATATGTAAAACTGTAAATAAAGATGATAATGGTAATAGAGAAGCATAAAGTACATGTAACATAGAGCTCAAGCTGCTCTAATTGACTTGCTGCTGATGTCAAGTGTTGTTTACATTTAAATGAACCTCTATATTATGTTAATAACAGCAGATTTAGTTGATTTTTGAAATCAACAAACTGTCCCTGAAGCCTTGAAGCTGATCACATGTGCTACAAGCTCTTCAACTCTTCAGTTTGGTGAGTTTCATCAATTTGTCAAATTTGTAAAGTGTTTCTCCAGGCATCTTCATGGAGCAGCAGACTCGCCCCAGAAGCAGGGCTCTTTCCACACACCTGAGGGGATTCTTGGTGTTGGGAGCGTCTCTTTCATTCAAGAGGTCTGTGAGCTTTCACAGCTGGCAGCTGTAATCAGGTTAGATCACACCTACAGCTGCATCTCTGCCAAAGCTCACAGACCCAACAGACTGGAAGAGCGCTACCTGAAGAACTGCGGTCTTTCCTGACATCCGTCCACCAGCCTCAGTCTCTTCAGTGGACGAGTGTCTGGAGTCTCTGTGTCAGCAGGAAGATCCCGTCTCCATTCACGGCTGCTGTGTGCAGGGCTACCAGGACATTTACTGCTCTGTGGAGCCCATGATGAAGACACACTGTGGTCAACAGCATCCCTACAGCCTTGAGCTGGGGCTGAAGATCATGCAGCGCCTGTGGGAGACGCTCAGCTGCCCTTCACTGCTGGAGACAGAGCAGCCAGACGGACGCGTCTTCATCACTGAGAGCTTCACAAGCAGCAGAAGCTTCGCTCCATGAATCCACGTGAACGTCAGTGAAGAACCTCTGCCTGAGCAACACTGAGTCATCACAGTGTCTCATGAAGCATCACACAGTGGGACCTACATTTGTAAATACTGTATATATTGTACATAGTTATAGAGTAAGTTTTATTTTCTAACCCTAGTTTTCATCACATTGCTGTGTGATTGTTTGGATGTTTTTGGTGATTGTCAATGCAGTGTTTTATGGTCCTCTGTTGTTCTAATTGGCTTTTAGCTCTTTGCTACGTGGTTGTCAGGATGTTTTCGGTGGTTTCCTGTGTGTTGACTTGCATTTGCCAAGGTTTTCTGCACGGTTGTTAGCGTGTTGCATTGCGGTTGCTGGACTCCTCTGTTTGATTTTTATGCGTTGCTATGTGGTTGTCAGGATGTTTTGAGTGGCTGGTTGACATGCGGTTGTTTTAAACAGGGTTAGGGTAGGTAAGGGTCCCTCACATGGTTTGCAGCTTGACGTGCTGTGAGGGCTTGTGTGCCTCAGTAATGCTGAGAGCTACGTCACTTCACAGCTACTGTAGTAGGGTCACCCATAGTGGACAGGTCTCAGCTGAGATGCCAGAAGAAGACAAACCACCGGATTCTGGACAGCAGCAGATTGGCCTGATGTTCCTGTCAGAGGATCACCATCTTCTGTTTACAGGTAAGTTGGATAGACATACAATATATGATAGTTGTCAGTTGGAGTTAGTAGTTTCTTTCGCATGGAATTTGAAAATTCTGAAAATAATAATTAATCGGTCAATTCAAATATTTCATAACAATTAATTAACATTAATTACAGATTTTGAAAGTGCTAAAATTGAGATTGACTTCTTTTAGCACCTTTAGCACCTTCTCAAGGAAAGAAAACAATGTTTTATTAACAATTTTCAAACAGAGCCTTACTAAAAGTGAAATAAAACGAAAATGTAATGAGAAAGTAAAACTATAAAACAGACACACACACACACACACACACACACACACACACACACACACACACACACACACACAGAGAAAAACAATTA